GGTGAGCGATATGAGTTAGGATAATTGGTATGGATAATCCCTAACTTGAGGCTTGAACTAATTGCCTCTCCGCAAAGAAAAAAAAGGCTGTCATGCTCATTACCTGATCGGGCTATGAACTAGGGCTCAGGGCTCGGTCCTCCAATCCCCAGTTACCGCCAATCACAGCGAGTCCGCAGTTGATGGATGAGTCGATCTGGTCCTGACAAGAGCCCCTCCCCCTCCATTGCCGTTGTTTCTTTCTTTATGCTCTCCCCCCGACCCTCCCTTCTTCCCTTTCCTTTCTTTTCACCGTCCAAACAGCGGATTTTATTGTCGGTCACCTCTTTCAGGTCCATGTCTTCTCGCCAACAGCCGCCATGGCGGCAACCGGCCTCTAGCCCGGACGCGCAACTCCCTCCGTTGAAGGTGTGGAATTCGTTGACCAAGTCCAAGACCCCCTTCGTCCCGATCGACCCCGCGGGCAAGAAAGTTGTGTGGTACGCGTGCGGACCGACTGTTTACGACGATGCACACCTTGGACATGCCCGAAACTATGTCAGCACCGATATTATTCGGCGAATTATGCGCGACTACTTCAAGTTCGATGTCAACTTCGTTATGAACATTACAGACGTGGATGACAAGGTATGACTCATAGTTGTGTATTTGGATATAGTCTCGAGTGCGGTGACTCACCAATTCTATAGATCATCCTCCGCGCCAGACAACAACACCTGTTTAACGAATTCGTCGCCGCCAACCCTACGATTACCTCAGAGGTCTTAGATACCGTCAAGAGTGCTTTCGTCGCCTACTTAAAGAAGAACCTTCCTTTGCTCGACTCCGAACTCCCTCCGTCGCGGTATCAGAATGAGGTTGAAAAGACCTATGCGACTATCTTGAACGGTGGAGCTTTGCCGGGAAACGACAAGGCAGGTGATGATGAGGCCAAGGTTAAAATGCATATCAAGACGGCTGCATCGGCCGCAAAGGTCTTCGCGCAGGCTGAAACCCGCGATAGCTCGAGTGCCGACCCTGCTCTCTTTGCTGAGTCATTCTATTCGAATGCGCAGGATCTCATTTTGCCTTACCTCGATGCCCTGAAGGGCGCATTGGTTGATGCGGACGATCATAGTATCTTCACTAAATTGACTAAGAAATATGAGGACCGGTTCACCAAGGATATGCGCGACCTGAACGTTCTTGATCCCACCGAGTTGACTCGCGTGACGGAATACGGCGATGAGATTGCAGCCTTTGTGGATCGCATTGTCAAGAACAACTTCGGATATGCTACAAAGGATGGATCTGTGTACTTTGATATCAATGCCTTCGAAGCTGCGGGCCACCCGTACGCTCGACTTGAGCCATGGAGTCGGTCAGACAATAAATTGGCTGCAGAGGGCGAAGGCTCTTTGGCTAGCAAGACGACAGAGAAGCGCGGTGCTTCCGATTTCGCTCTATGGAAGTCGTCCAAGCCAGGCGAGCCGAGCTGGTCCAGCACTTGGGGCAAGGGCCGCCCTGGTTGGCATATCGAATGCTCAGCCATGGCGTCAGCCCGGCTGGGCAACCAGATGGATATCCACTCTGGTGGTATTGATCTTGCCTTCCCGCACCACGACAATGAACTAGCCCAGAGTGAGGCATACTGGCACGGTGACCACAAGCATGACCAATGGGTTAACTACTTCCTTCACATGGGCCATCTTTCCATTCAAGGATCCAAGATGTCCAAGTCCTTGAAGAACTTCACTACCATCCGAGAAGCGCTTGATCGCAAAGACTGGACGCCGAGAAGTCTGCGTATTGTTTTCCTCCTGGGTGGTTGGAAGGACGGTGTTGAGATCACAGAGGATCTGGTAAACACTGGCAGCTCATGGGAGGAGAAGGTGAACAACTTCTTCCTCAAGGTGAAGGATCCTGCGGCTCTCCAGTCATCAGGTACCGATACCACCTTTGCTGCTGATCTGGAAGCGGCCAAGAAGGCAGTCAACGACCAGCTCTGCGATTCTTTCAACACTCCCGCTGTCATGGCTTCGATCTCAGATCTTATATCCAAGTTCAACATTGCCGACAAGGCCACCGTGCCTTCCGAGGATGTTCAGGCTGCAGCCCAATGGGTTACCTCCATGGTGAACATTTTCGGTCTCAATGGCACCGCCTCGGCTGACAGTATTGAAGTCGGGTGGTCTGGTATTGATATCCCCGAGGAGGCCAAGCCCTACCTGTACCCTCTGTCCGCTATGCGTGACACGCTCCGTGAAGCCGCGCGGTCCAAGGCCGGAATCTCCGCCAAGGACATCGAGGCGGCAGTTGCCAAAGCATCGGCACCCGAAGAGGCCTCCGAATCTGCCAAGCCGTACGCTGAACTTTTCTCCAACTTCCGTAACAAGGTGGTGTCTTTGGAGTCATCTGAGTCTATTGGCAAGGATATTCTTTCACTGTGCGACCGGGTGCGAGACATCGACCTCTTCGATGTTGGTATCGCCCTCGAAGATCGAGAAAACCAACCTGCCATGGTCCGGCCAGTCACCCAAGAGATGATTAAGGCGCGGGAAGAGAAGGAAACCCGAGCTCTCCAAAAGCAGGCTGAGAAGCTAAAGAACCAACAGGAAGCCCTCAAGAAGGCCGAGAAGGGCAAGCTAAGCCACCTGGAGATGTTCCGCACCAATGAGTACAGCGCCTGGGACGAGGAAGGCATGCCTACCCGCGACACTGCCGGCGAGGAGATTACCAAGAGCCGCGCTAAGAAGCTCCGCAAAGACTGGGAGCGTCAGAAGAAGGCACATGAGGCATGGTTGGCTACTCAGGCCAAATAGAGGCCAAAAAGAAAAGGAGTATTTTGATTTTAAATATCTAGTTTGACGGGTATCGGGTATCTTGGGAGTGGGTTTCCACTTTGCATCGCGAGGCGTTTCTCTCGGCATATATCCTTACCTTCTTATGCTATACAATGCGAATATTTCCTGATTGGGATACTTTAAGCACCATTACACCTCTCGGTTTCCTGAATAGTTCTAGTGATTGTTATGACACGGCGTAAACCTGATCCAGCCCTATCTCATACTTCCGTCATAATTTCTAGCGCATTATCCCCATTTTACACCACAATACACATGCAGTGCTAGATGCAGAGTGTATATGATTCAGAAATACGGCCCACTAGCAAGTCACTCGGGCCGACAAATCCGTGCCACCTGCGGAGTATAGTACCCCGGAAAACCCCAATTAAAGGGCTCATGGTGTTGGAGAAAGTGGGATGTGCATTCCCTTCCCCATCATTTTTCCCTTCTCTCTATCAGACCCTATCTTTGCTCGTTTACTAGATCACCTATCTCATATCTACCTATTTTTCCACTCAAGATGGCAGTGCAGACAGGTCTTGACTATATGCGTTCGCGCACGCATATCGACTGTGATACGATGGACGACGAAGGTAAGCCTACTGACCCTTCTACTCCATAGAGACTTCTATCATTTTCAGATATCTGACTACTATTTAGTCGCCAAAACCCTAGGCTCATTCCAGGACTGCACTTCTAACCAAGTAAGCGCATGAATATGCTATCTAATTAGGCCATGAAACTAACCGCACAGGCTATTGCACTCGGCGAGCTTTCCAAGTCAGCACGGGCTGAAGTTATTGCGGCATCGCAGGCAGATGCGAAGGCACTGCATCCGAACTACTCGTCCGTCAGGGTTGAAGCATTGGCCGTCGAGATTGCGGTAAGTTTTGCCTCGATTATTGAATAAGGTTAACTAATATTATTTAATAGATGGTTAGATTGGCCATAGGAATGGCCAAGCACATTTACGGACGTGTCCATGTGCAGGTCAACCCTTATTATTCATACTCATCAGAGAAGATTATCATCAATGCACTCCGTATGTCCGGTCCTTCTCATTGATATTGTTCTTGCTTAATTGAAGCCGGTGCTGATCGTGCGTTCATAGGAATCGTACAATTGTTCCAGCATGTCCAGCCAGGCTTCGACATCACTCGTATTTGTATCAAGATTCCGAGTACGTGGGAAGGAATGATGGCCTGCCGCACCCTCCAGTTAGCTGGTGTGCATACGTTAGCAACTACTCTGTTCAGCATGACTCAAGCTGTACTCGCAGCTGAGGTCGGCTGTACTTATATTGCACCGTATGTGAACGAATTGAAGGTGCATGTGCAAGCAGGGTAAGTACCAATCTCTTCTTCTAAGTCTTGTCTAACTCTTTTCCCATTTTAGTTTCGTGGACAATGCGAAATTGCTCCCGCTTTGCGCAGCCATTCAGAAATACTACAAGTCCATACATTCGCCCACCAAAGTCCTGCCTGCTAGCCTAACTTCCGTCGAGGAGATCTTCTTGCTCGCTGGGGTGGACCACCTCACTATTTCGCCGGGTCTGTTGACACAATTGGCTCAGCCTTATGTAGGAAATGTCAAATCCCTATTTGATATTGAGGCGACACTTCCAATCCCGGAAAGGGATGTCTCTTTCATCAACGATCCTGGAAACTACCAGATTATATTTACACGAGATCTGGGCGGTGCTAGTCAGATCAAGCTGACCGAGGTAAGTGCATACATCAATCAGATTGGATTTTAAGCTTCGCTGACAGAGACCAAGGCTATAAATATCTTCTGTGATGCCCAGGACCAGTTGGAGTTGCTTATGAAGGGGCCTTAATAGCTCTTTGAATTTCGGTAACCTACGATGAAGACAATCCCACTCTTATTTGGACCGTAGCTTAATAAATTGCTTGAAATCAAAAGAAATGGAAGAAATGGACTCATCTGAGAAGCCCTATACTTCGCACGTGACCGCCCGACGTCATCCATGGCTCCGTCTTTCATCTGTGGATTTCTCTTCTCTTCGCGCTCCAATTGCCTTAGTATCAACTTGCACAGAGCTGGGTCTTCCAGCTACTATATCTGTTTATATTGGCATTTCTATTTTTACATTGTTTTGCTTCCCAAGCCTTCAGTGGGAATACTTGACTCTGAATCGCACAGTTCGCCTGCAGGATGTTTCCTTCGCAGGCGGTTAATTTCAACATCGAAGCCCTTAGCGGGATCTGCGGGTAAGTTTGACAAGCAGAACTTGGTTTTTTTTTTTTTTTTTGTTAGCTGTCAAGTTTATTTGATGCATGCATGTACGACAGCGGATCTAGATCTACTTGACCCGACGATCTCTGCATGTGTTGCTTTTTTTAATCCAATACTAACCAATTCAGTTCGGTTTCTATTGCCTGCTGGGTTGTAGTTTTCTCCCCTCAAATCATCGAGAACTTCCGACGTGGCTCTGCAGATGGCCTCTCTCTCATCTTCCTCATCATCTGGTTGGCTGGCGATGTGTTCAACATCTTAGGCGCCGTCCTACAAGGCGTGCTTCCTACAATGATCATCCTTGCAGTGTACTACACTCTAGCAGACATTGTTCTGTTGGGACAGTGCTTTTACTACCGAGGATTCAACCTCAAAGAGGAGCTATCTCCCTCAGGCACGCCGGACCTTTTTGCAGCCAACGATGCGGAGCGGAATGGCGCTGAACATCAAGCACCGGCAACAGAAAGATCTGCCCTCATCCCAAAGCCCAACAGCCAGGTCCAAATTGAAGACCGAACTATCAATGTAACCGGGCAGCAACCCGAAGACCGCACACGTCCACTTTCCGATGGAAGACGGCACTCGGCAACCTCTTACCAAGATATTTTCCACTCATCGGTAGACGCCACCCATCTTTCACCCGCAACGCCCTTCGTCGAACCGACAACCGATTCCGCGCGGCGCCGTGCTCAACGTGCCCGCCGTCGCCGCATCTCCGCCCTCCAATCCGTCCTTTTCAACCTCACCGCCGTCGCTTTAGTCTGTGCTGCAGGTGTGATGGGCTGGTTCGTCAGCCCGGCAGCAAAGTCATCGGCTCCAGACCCGGAACCTCTTGCTATGGATGTTCTGGGTCAAGTATTTGGCTATTTCTGTGCAGTTTTGTATCTTGGATCGCGTCTGCCCCAGCTTCTCTTGAACTACCGCCGTAAATCAACGGATGGTGTTTCCCTTTTGTTTTTCCTCTTTGCTTGCATCGGAAACTTGACTTACGTGCTATCTATCTTGGCGTACTCGCCTATTTGCCATGGTGGGTCTTCCGAGGAGATCATGGGCCACCGTCACCGTGCGCATTGCCGTCCTGGTGAGGCGGCTGGGCTGTATGGCCGGTATGTATTGGTGAACTTGTCGTGGTTGGTCGGTAGTGCTGGCACGCTGCTGCTGGATATGGCGATCTTTACGCAATTCTTCCTGTACCGTGACGACAAGGGTGATGAGGAGGAAGAGCAATAGTAGATACTTAAACTTTAGATGTGATTTATTGCACCTATATCAATGTTTGAAATACAATATTGTTGAACCCCGACTCATGCCTTTTCTTGGCCTAGCTTTATGGTATCAAGGACAAGCCACCAGGGCATGCAAGTTAGCATTACCTGGAGTGAAGAGAAACGCTCAATTTTGGTTCTTTTGCCTAGAGATGACCCACTACTTCCAGTGTGTTGTTGATGACCTGGCTGTCAACGATGAGGTTCTGATGTAATATATATAATATATAATTGATTCAGGTTGTACATGGGACACTGAAAAGACTTACAAAATATGTCTTTTTCTGCTATCTATAAATCTTAAAGAGATAATATCTAAAAAGAGGATATTTCAAAAGACATCTAACAAGACTACCAGAAAGAAAGGAAAAATACGTCAGAAGGCCGCAATAAGCTTCCGACTATTCGTGTCCATCTTAATACAGGATATATATTTCTCTCAAAAATTACAACAGAGACCGGATGAAAGATCTACAAGGCCAGTCATATCGACTGATGCTGCGTTAGACACGACGCCACTTATACATGGATATCTGACAGCTACTGGAGCTTAGCAGTGCCAGCAAGCCCCAATAATCCTAGAAGCCCAATGATCCTAAAAGCGGTCGATAACGTCGTACTGGTAGAGTTGCTAAAAGAGTACTAAGGGTTAATAGGCCTCGACAAAACCATATTAAAGTTCTTTAAGGATCCTCTGATGCCCAAGGAGCTGAGAAAATGGGAACTAACCGAGGAACACACTTTCAGCCTCGGGCGTGAGATGGAAACTACGGTCAAATCTGATCTGCAGGATAAGCTCGCTAGACTGGAGGATATGTTTGCCATAAAATAGGGCTTGCAGGTACACGATCGGGCTGTAGAGGTAAAATGTCAGCCCTCTTACGACTGAAACATCTCAGACAGCCATGTAGGGCCTCAACCTCTAGCGTCGATTTGCACTTGAGGGGGGTATATTAGGGTCAGGGCAGGCAGAGATGTAACTTTATCCCTGAGCCAACCATTCCCGTCATGATGCAGATGTCTCGATGTTACATGACTAGCACATGCATACTAGTGCAGAATAGTATGGCTTGCAGGACAGGAGATGTGTGAAAAATAGAAGTCATTGTGAGGTGCAGAGGGGCCGGCGCCAATATAAGTTTCACGGAGAACGAATAGAACTCAGACTAAGACCGAGCCCTAAGCGCCCATAGCCTATCATTTAAGCTTCGAATATATTTGTAGTCCTAAGCTGACTTGTAACCTTAGAAACCCAGTTCCATTTATCTTAGTACGACGATCCATATCACGATAACCCGGTCTATATGATCCGTGGAAGCTTCCTAGCCAACAATATATATATATACGGAAGATTGTTGCTGAGTTGGGTTTCATTCTTTACATCCCTGATTCCAGCCCAACTTTGTAGATGTCCTTCGAAGCGAGAGAAATGTGTATATATATACTACAATTCAATCACACCAAGAGAACCAGAAGCATCCAGATCAAGATCTAAAGCAAGCGTTAGCCAAAAAAACAAACACTATCCACAGACACATCAACTGGGACACCCTATCTTACTCTTCTATCCAATCAACCAATCCCCATGCCGACCACTATGAAGAACCCACAGATTGTGCATGCAGACATGATCCGAATGGGTAAATGGACCGATTTCGGCGGCGTCGAAGCAGACAAACTCGGCACATGCTCTGTCACGGCAATTGTCAACGAGGAAGGCTTCTTGCTCTCTAACACATCCTCGGATGGGTTTAGGGAGATCCCTGCTGCGGAACATCTGTGTGCGCTTTACAATGAGAACAAATCGCTCTTCGGCAACAAGCCGGTGGATGTGTGGATTGTGTACGAGCAGGAAAATGCAGTCAAAGGACGGGGTATCAGGAGCGTCATGCAGAAGATCCGACCTGCGAGAGTTTTCGAGCAGGTATATAATGGAGAATCTTTCATGAATCGGCCGAGCGAGGAGGGTGCGAGGTTTTGTCTGATGTTGGGGGGTGGGACTGTCGTGGCTACTATGTCCCGGCAGGATCGAGGGGGTTGTCCTATTCTGCTTTCTGGGGATGGGACGACTGTTGTGTGTCGATAGAGAGTGGCAGAAGGGTTGGATTTTTGAATTTCGGTGTTAGGAAGAGGCTTTTATATCTAAGTAATCGGAGTCTACGAGTTGAACTTGCTTTTCAAAACTAAGATTAAGACAATTTATGAAAAATCAATTGAAACATATTTCACAACTAAAAGTTGCGACACCTTAGAAACACCTCGCTACATGCGGCTTAGCAATGAAAAGAGACAAATCAGCAAGCGGAAAATCATCCATGGTGAGCTTCCACTTTTCCCTTCGCAACCTCAGACCAGTTCGTGCTCAGCGATGTGCCCTGGCTTTCGGTGTAACTTTTGATCATAGCTCGGCGCGTCTCTGGGTCAGCACCGGCATACAACTTCTTGAAGAACCCGTCGACAGCATCACCACTTTCGTCATCCGATGCATCGGCTGTGTTTCCATCGTCCCCTGCTTTCTCATTTGGTTTCTTCCCAGTGAGCGAGGATGCGACCTTGTCCCAATCCTTGGTACCGTGGCGTGACGAGGTGGGATATGAAGGGCCCGCGGTAGCTGGCGCGTTCTGTGCAGCTGGGCGGTCGGTGATCTCAGCGGTGTTGGTAGCGGAGGCTTCGAGGGCATTCCACTTTTGGCCGGCTGTCTTCTTTCGCAGAGTGATTTCGATCTTGGTGCTCTTGACAGAGACCTTGGACTCGGCGGGATTTATGGCTGCATAGAGCGGGTCGAGGGTAAAGTCGTATTCAGAGCCAGATGGGAGGGGGAATTGCAGAGAGACCTTTTCTAGAGTTAATTTCAAGTCCAATAATGACCAAGCAGAAGAATACTCACAAAATCTTCTTTCAAATCGACTGCAACACTGTCATTCGGGATCCCCTTGACATAAAGAGTCACAACCACAGAGTCCTGTGACTGATACCACTCATGGCGAACCTTCTCCGGGACAATAGAGGTAGCCGTAGCACGGGTGTCTGGGTCTTGAGCGAGAGCAGCCATAATAGCCTCCGCTGGGGATAGGGTCGATCCCTCTATGAGTTCAGGGTTGAAGGGCTGAGGCTCAATCTGCTGCGAGGCTCCGGTGATTCCCACGTTGCCAGCCTTGAGGGCCATCCACTGATCGTTCAGCTCACCTCCAGTCGGAACGTAAGTGGAAGATGGGAACTCATCAACGGATACAATGCGCTTCGGATCGTCCTCGGGTACTTCTGCGTCCTTGCGTTGGAGTTTGGCGATCCAAATCGGCATTTGCGCGCTGTAATTGTTTCTGTAGCTTCCCCATCCGGATCCTGATCCTCCCATGGCAGCCTGAACCTGCTCCGTTCTATTCGCTGGGACCTTCTCGCTCTTGGTTTTATCGGCGATGATTCCAAACACAAATCCTGCATCTCCATATCGTTCAAGCTGGTACAGCGACACGGCACGGCGCATCTGAGCGGAGAGAATCAGTTCGCGGTTTCCGCGCTCTTTGGCGAGCTGGAGCGCAATTTCGGCATCGTTGAGTGCGGCCTGGTAGTCGGGACCACCATCTGCGGACTTGAGGCGCGAATAGGCAGTCGATCGCGAGATGTAGTATGCCGGAGCGCGGGGTAACTCGCTCAAGGCGTGGGTGTAGTGCTCGATAGCGAGGCGGTAGTTGGATTTGGCCGAGGCCTTGTCGCCCTGGGCAGCAGCATTCATGATGATAGGATCAGGGACTATCGGAGTTGGGTTAATCAAAGAACACAAAGTGCAACCCAGTATGGAGGGATGAATGAGCTGGGATGGCCCAAGCTCCTGTCGATCACTCATTTTGGATGCAAAGGCACGTGATCTAGTGTGGTGAGGGGAAGGTGAGGGGAAAGAGGAGCGAGAGAGAAGAGATGAGAGAGATGATATACAACATCCATGAATACTACGACTAAGAAATCGCGGCCTACCTAGGTATATCAATCAAATACCTGATAAATGAACCCCTTTATTATTGATTAAGTATATATGTGCGGAATGTTATTTTCCCTTGAGATGGTTTACACGAGCTCCGCATTTCCAAACTTCTTACTATACAAGCCCAAGGCACGGATAGGCCAGTAGAACTTGTAGTTGGGATACGAGATCATGCTAGAGAGAGATGGTCAGTAAATCAAATCCAAAAGAAGATCAGGTTAGTTTCAACTTACCAAGACTGGTTGAATACACCTTCAATCGCCTCCTGTAGCCACTCTCCATTACGCTGCTGGCGAGACATCAGCAGTCGAATGCCCCTCTCCAACGGTTCTTTGTGCGGATATCCTGCCTCCATAAGTCCGAGAAGAGACCAGGCAGTCTGACACACCTGGGACTTCTCGTGCTGAACATACTGATGGGTCGCGCTACTCAGATATGACTCGCCCCAGCCACCATCGGCCTGTTGCTTCTCGATCAGGAAGTCACAGCCCCGACGAGAATCTTCACTCGTTTCGTATGTCTCGCCGACGCTAGCCAGACTTTCCAGCGCGAACAACGCTGCGTAGGTGAAACAGATTCCCCATGAGCCATACCAGCTACCGTCAGCGCGCTGGACATGCTTGATGTGGCCGACAGCCTTCTGTTTCGCGGCGCGGATTTCGTCAGCGCGATATTTGGGGTAGAATTTGCTGAAGAGTGACAGAGCCGTAACAGATGCCGTTGTGCATTCGGGGTGGTCGTAGCTGATCATGATTCCACCGAAGACCTCCGCGGCATTGAGCCACTCGACCTTGGGCGAGGCGCGGGTAATTTCGTACTCGGAGAAGCCACCGCTTGGGTTTTGCATGAGTAGAAGACAGTCAACGGCGTCCTTCAACCTTTCTTCGGAGATCAGCTTAGGGAAGTCATGCATTTCTTGCAGCTGAAGTGTTGACCGGAGACCCTCGGCGGTGCAATCACTAACTGTGTAGCCCTGGTCCTTGGTGCTGAATGGCCAAGCACCCTTACGGTGTTGGCGGTAGCATTTTTCTTGATCTGGCACGTTCTCTCGCAATTGATGATCGTCGAGGAACTCGAGAGCTTTTGTCAACATCGGCCGCCATTTGGGTTCGTCGGCGAAACCAGCTACAACAATCGCTTGCGTGATGAATGCCGTGTCCCAAACTTGTACGCCGTTGGTGCCATTTGCGAGCATGCCCTCGCCCTTTACCCACATATAGTCATTCAACCGCTCCCTGTGTTGGCGGACAGAGTAACTGTCCGGGCCGTCGTGGACAAAGCAAGCCACCATGTTCATTGGATTGTTGACGGGTCCCAGCCCCGCATATTTGGTGTTTTCATCTTCCATGCGAATCAATTCCCAAGTCCATTCCTCAGCTCGCTTGACAATATTGGGGAGTCGAAGGTAAGGGTTCCAGACCCGAACCAGCAGTTCATTGGCTGCATTCAACAGCCACGTCTTGGGGTAATAATTGTCTACCTTGTGAATCGAATTGCGATGCGCAGCAAAATCGACAGAGCTGTATGGCTGGGTGTATAGCTCTTCGCGCAGCTGTCTTGTCAAGTCGTCTAGAGGGTGAGACCATTGCTTAGACCACAGCCAAGACATTGGGAGGAACACCTGGCGCATATGAATCCACCACCGCCAAGGAGCAAAGGGAACCCAGTCGGGAAGAAGCCTATGTAGTCGGTTAATAAAAGAGAGCCTGTACTTGTTGCAATGCGTGAACCAACCAAATCTCAGGGGGAACTGGGTTGACACCCTCCCACTCCATCACTCCCAGAATGCTGAGCCAGAACTTAGCCCAATGAGGGCCATAGGTGGCACCTCCGAACTTATGCAGAAGACCCCGAGCTTTGATCATGCGCGGGTCCTCTTCGCTGACACCAATCAAGCGCAGTGCCACATAGTTCATACAAGTACCGAAGACGGAACTGTGGCCTTCAATGTGCAGGCCCCATCCACCGTCCTCTGGGTGTTGACGGGCAAACAGATAACGCTTGATCTCTGTTGCATACTCAGGGGGGATAGGGGTATTGGTCACATAGTAAGTGATCAAAATACCCGGCAGCAAAAACATGGGGCCACCATACTCGCAAGCCCAGTTTCCGGGCTCCAGTTGCAGATGCGAGAAGAAAGAAAGCCCATTCTCGGCGGCTTTCAATGGTGTCTTGGCCTCTGGCAGCTCTGGAAGTCCCTATAATGCGCCATTAGTATTGGATAAAAAATCTTAGATTTCTAGCCAATTGAGTGAGGGATAAATACCGTTGGCAGTCCCAGGTGATATTTATCAGCTACTGATTGAGGCCACTCTTGGTTTTCCACGTCGGATTCGAGATACCGCCATGTTTGACGGCCTTCCTCATCGACCAATCGCCAGCGCGAGTAGTCGGTTTTAAGATCTCCATTGGCATCTGGAGTTAGATGACCCTTGGCCGGGGTTCTCCATGGCCTAATATGAGGAGTAGAAGACATGATATGAGAAATTGGATCTTTTTCGCCAATCCAGTAAAGACAGTAAACAGCTTGGAGAGTCTAGGCGATGGAAACCGGGGAAGCTTAGTCATCAGTATCACGACTGCAGTGTAGAATGAAGAATGTTTTACCTCTCTAAAGGCAGACAAGTTGATTAAAATGAAACGAAGGAAGAGAAGGAATAGGATTTCAAGGATGTTCTGATTAAGAGACAGGGGGCATAAGAGGCGTGGTGGTGATGTGGTGATGCAATGGTGTGGTTTGGAGTTGCTCTATACACTTCAACAGCCCCAAACCCTCAAAGAATTGAGAAAACCACTTATTTAAACCAAAAGAAAATGTTTAGAGTGCCGAAGCTCACAGCAATAAATTGTAGATGGAACGAGAAAAGGGAGAGGAAGGGAATCTTCGACATATAGTATGATATCTAGTAACCAATTTCTGACTATAGATCAATCAAGTCGTAACAAGTTAAATGCTTCTTTCTACTAGTATTTTATCTAAATTATTATTTGTTCACTGTTGTTTATATACAAGAGTTATATATGGATCCTATCGGAAAGTGTCATGTAAGCTCTTTGTGCCCATTGTGGTCCACGGGTATAATTCATATCCTTCAACCCCCATCTCGCCTTGCCCAAACCCACCCTAATGGCAATGGCTGAGCCACCAACCATCAACGCATTGGAAATAGACGATGGTCGAGATTCTTCAGTCCAAGATTTCACCGACAACACCCTGGCAGCCCTTATACACGGACTCTCACAGACCCCGGCAGAAGCAAACATCTCCATCACCCTCAAGCGGAGAGCCAGCCCAATGGCTTGCATGATCAATCCCATCACCGGAGCTTTGGAAGCGAGTCCGGGAGTTGAGATGCACAGGAAATACTCTTGGCCAGGAAAAACGGCACATGAGGCCTGGAAATTTAGTAAGTTTCCTTCTACCACACTCTGAAAATCACCTGGATGAGAAACTCACGGAGTCTGCCTGTTCTGATAGCCGTCATCCTCCGAATCCTAGCTATATTGGACCAAGCTATTCGAACCGGGCAGCTAATCTCCAAAAGGTGAGCTAGCAATGTTCAAGAACCAATCTGGAAGGTATACTGAACACATCGATACAATCACCAGGGACATATACTATATCGATCCGGAATTCTTCCGCGTGCAGTATATCGTGGACCACATTGTCGATGACCTGGCGTACACCATCGGAGTCAACAGAACGGCATTGAATGTGGTTTGTCCTACCATATCCTCTGGTGGTATAGCACTACAAGACCGTGCTGCTGACATCGTGCACAACTTCCTAGGAAGCGGCAGCAAAGGGACTGGTGACAGGAGATTTTCGGTTGATCCGTGGCTCCCATATTTTAATTGATGCGCAGTCTATCACCGAGGACAGTTTGATTCCTCGCATAAAGGATGGAGACGAGATTGACATTTCACGGGTCCGCTGGGTACTGGTCATCGAGAAAGAGGTATGAAGCATTGAGAGACCACACATACAGCACCAGTATGCTGAGTCCGTGTCCACCAGGCAGTCTTCCACCGGCTCGCGCGAACCAGTTACCACACCAGAGCACTAGCCGGAGAAGGGATTATGATCACGGTAAGCTGCGTCTCTGCTTTAGGATATTCCGTCCCCCAAACGAGCAACTGTGCTCAACACTACTCGAACAGGGCAAAGGATACCCCGATTTCATGACACGAACGTTTCTGCGCGCAATGTCCGACTCCGTATCCAACCAGAGCAGGCATCCGCCTCGTTTCTATGCCCTCGCCGATGGTGATCCCCATGGCATGGCCATCATGTCGACGTACAAGTACGGTTCGGCGGCACACTTACATCAAAATGCTCGGCTCAGTATACCGAGGCTGCAATGGCTGGGTCTTCGAGTGACAGATATCATAGCAGTTCCGGAGGTACTTGGTGACACGGCTCTTCTCTCGCTGACGATGCGAGATCGCAAGAAGATCGTGGCTATGCTTCGAAACAGTCCGGTCTGGGCGAGCGATGGACCAGAGCCCGAGTGGCGTGCTGAATTGCAGCGGATGCTGGTTCTGAATCTGAAGGCGGAGATTGAGATCCTGTATGGGTGCCAAGGGGGGTTGGAGGGGTGGATTAATCGGAGGATGTTTCGGCAGGAGTAAGATTCTGTAGGATGTGTATATCTAGGATGGTATAGATGTATAGACTATAGACCACATGGAATAAAGACAGGAACGATATACCATAGTACTTGCCATGGAGGCCCAATACTTTTAGTGGAAGGAGAGATGAGAATACTAAAGCAGACCCAAGATTTAGCAAGTCGCTGGAAGAGAAGAAAACTGTGTATAGAAATACAAGAAATAACTGCATGTATTTCATCCGCTACCATAATGCGAGGATAAGAATGCACTGTACAGACCCGGAGAAGCCATCGCATATCCAGACCATGCAAAAGAAAAATAAACCCTTGAACGCCAGTCATCAAATCTTGACTCCCGTGCAGCACAAGCAGACCATATTGACAGATGTCCACCTACGCAGCAGCGAGAGAACCCGAGGCATTCATTTACAACCCAGCCCGGCTCACAGACCCAGACCCTTCTTCACCTCATCCCGAACCTTCTGCTCGTACTCGGCTCTCCGCTCGCGCCACATCTTAGCAGCCTCGACATTGGCGGGACTCTCGTCATTCGGCTCAGCAAGCATACTCATAACCGAGATGAGGATCTTTTCCACGCTCTGAATGGGTGACCAGCGCTCCGAGGCGTGTTCGTAGTGGTTTGGGTCGTCGCCGGGGGGATGAAGGATGGAGATGCATACGGTTCCGTTGGGGTAGACTGTGATTCAAATTAATCAGTAAGATGTTTCAAATTGCGTATTGAGCAAAGCGAGCAAGTAGCCGGGCGCAAGTCACTCCTGGGTTGTCTCGGTCACGTACCGTTCGGGTGCCATACGCCACCTCCGATGAACTTCATTGTCGGCGGGCTCAAGGGGTAATCTCTTGGGAACTTCAGCTCCGCTGCGAAGACACCACCTTCGAAGGGGGTTTCCTCGGGGCCCTGGATCAGGGCTTCCCAATAGAACATGTCATCTTCGGAGACGGGGCCTGCGGTGATACCCTCTGGTGGGTTGGTGGAGAGGTTCTTATATTCGTGGAAAAGGCGCTTCTGGGCGACGGAGGACGCCATTTTTTTTTTCCTTCTCTTTTTGATTCAAATGCGAAATGCGATTCGGAAAATACTTAGGTGGCAAGATTGTCTGCGGGTGGAATGAAGGGTGGGGATGGAATAATTCCGGGGCGGTGGACAAAGCGTGGCGATGTCGTGGGCAGAGATGGTAAACTGCGATTGAAAGATGACGAAGTGAACGGAGATATTTTTGGTTTAAGAGAAAATACTACATCTAAATCGTGAATATTATAGAATAATACAGAAACTGGCCCCCATCACCAGTCGAAATAATCACCCCCATCACCCCCATCACCAATGTCACCCCCTTCGTCACCCCAAGAGCCATCCTCCCAAGGGTCTCGAGGTTTATCCTGGAAACCTTGTGAGCCCGGGTCCGTCGGCTCTGATGCCGAGGCATTTGGATCGCCTGTGTTCGCCCTCTGCATTGCTTCATATCCAGCCATTGCACCGGCGGTGGTAGCGCCTCCAACCATACCATTTGGCATACCACCGGCAGTTCCAACTCGTTCAAGAGTTCCAGAAGCGGCTCCACCAATAGCTCCAGCCTCACCGGTGGCGGCGCCTTCTGCAGCTGCACCGCCGGCAGGAGCCTGGCCGCCCATAGGGACTCCATACGCCGGAAAGCCAAATACACCATGGCCATGCTGGCGGCTGAAGTAATCGAAATCAATGCTTACAGCTGTAGCCAACATGACAGCACGTTGGTCGAGGGTCATGCCTAAGGCTTTGTTTTTGTGTGGTGTCTCTGTGCCGAGAGCTGCAGAATCCATTCGCATTGCGTAGACACCTGTGTCCGTGAAGATTTCGCGAGCAAATCCTGCAAAATTGCGATTGACGGATCCAATTAACTGATCGTCTGCTGATTTCAGGGAGAAATCCCATGATAGAAAGGGCTCATCAACATAGGCAAATTGGTTGAATTGACCCTGGTCTTGGTTGGATGTTTGTATTAGTTGCATCTGCTGTGCGCGTGATAAACCAGAGTCGGATAGTGCGATATTATGGGTTCCCATGTCTGTTTCCGGGTTTGGCGACTGGTGATGGGTGAAGAGATTGTATTTTCGCCGTAAAGGTGCCCACTGCTGCTGGGCTTCGCCGATAACTCGCATTTGACCGAGTCCAAGTGGGGATATCCTTGCGCTGGAGCTGGCGCCAGGTTCAATGAGAGAACCTGGTGTTGTGCTTTGAAGAGAGGTGGATGCCGAGTGAGCATTTGGGGTTTGATCGAGAGGGTCATATACATGAATTCGGGAGTTGATCCAAGAGAACGGGCGATTGAACTGCGGTTGTGAGCCAAACGAAAAACACATCAAAAGATGGTCATTATATAAGCTTACTCGAAGGACTTCATTTTCTTGTCGGTCAAATACATGTGTCACGAAACTTCGGTGGGTATGGAACCACTGCCGTGCCATTGTACTTGCCAATCCCTTATCCTGTTCTGCCATATACCCAATGTGATATCCCTGCGCATCCATGATGACATACTTATTCGCTTGTTCAAACCCACTGAGGGAGTCAGTACAGGTGTTTTTCTCAAATAGGCGCTTGCGCAGCACTCACATCAGAACATTCATCATCTCTAGTTCTCGTTGTACGACTATTCCCGAGTTTGCCAGTATTGAAGTTGCCGGGTGGTTTTCTTTAAGCACACCTCTGGGGTCTTCAGGCACGTAAACGGGAGAAAGTAGCGTGTTCTGCAAAGGGTCGTAGTTGGGACCTATGGCATCTTGGGACGCAGGGGCAGCAGGCACAGGCTGCTGTAAGGGTTCGGCTTTCCTCGCAGTCTGGATGAGATTTGGTCCTTTTATGCTATTGCGAGGACCGCGCGGAGATGCATGACTTTTGAAGCTTGACAGAGCTCGAGTTCGAACTGGTGCCCACTGTTTTTGCAGGGACCGGAGTCTTAAACCCCACATGGTAGTTGAAATGGACCAGAGTAGCCAAGATACAAGGATTGAGGAAAAAGGTTGAAGTACTGCGAAGTTGGTAAGTAATGCGCACACTCCGCCTGAGAAACCGATGACGGAAGGTCAATGCGGAGATAATCGGAGATAGCAACAGCAGTTGCTTAGTATGTTGTAGATCGTTTACTCTTACTTGAATCATAGTGTGCTATTTTCAAGATATTGAGCTGGTTTTTAGGTTAATTCGTTACTCGATTTTCTATTAATTATCAAGTATTACCGACGAGTGCCTTTCCAGACGTGGAAAACCACATCCCAAGTCACTTTGTATGTATTTACATGGGAGACTACGTTGGCATCTTTTAGGTAGAATTACCAGGTTCAATATGAACATATAGGCAGTCTGTTTCAATATACCAAGTAGGCTCTCCAATTTTAGAGCACATCTGGGCAAGTCCAAAAAAAGATGGATAGTAATCCTATCAGATTAATCCGTCCAGCGGCACCAGCTCCATGGCTTGGCCTCACAACCCTTAAAAAGCTGTACAGAGTTCTTATATCATAGAAAAAAGGCCATAGACCCAAATTCTTTACAAAACACCCTTGCGAGCCAATTCGATTTTCCGCACAGCTTCGCCTGCCTTGAACCCTCCCTTCGACACACAAACAGCACTCCCTTCTCCAAGTTCAACCTTCTCCTCAACATCCGGGTGAGGGCACGGGCAATGGTGTGGGAAGTGTACGCAAGCAAGAGTTCCGGGGCAGAGGTAGTGGTCGCATTGTGCTGTAAGCAAGGATTACAGTAGTCAGTTACGTGGTCACGAGGGCAATATGAACTTGCGACAGCATGTTTTCAATAATCAAATATTTTGAGTCTTACCTCCACTCCACATCTGCTGGTACCGATCGCTGTCACTGGGAGCGTTCTGCGAGCGCTGCTGTTGGCGCTGCTGCTGCTCGCCGCCTCCGAACATCTGGTCGAAGAAGTTGAATTGGGCCTGGGCGACAGACACGAGAAGGAGAAGAGCCCAGAGGGCTTGACGCCAGCTCTGCAACATAGTTTAAATAATCACACCGATAGTAATTGCAGAATCAAGTATCTTTATAGAAAGTAAAACGAGTTCAAGTGGTGTATAGATGAAGCCAGTTTACGGGTACACACGTGACGCCAAGCCTGATCTCCGAACGAAAAACTTCCCCTTTGGAGCTTCACGATCTACACCTCCAAACAATCCAATTACAACCCACCATGTTCAAGCCGCGAGTGCTAACGCCCCTGCGGGCACTGGAGCGAGCCTTCACCCCGACAATCCGGTCGACACCCGCGCTCTCGCAATCGCAATCCCTCCTGCGCACTCTCTCCGCAACATCCACATTCCCGAAAACCACACCAACACCCTCCCTCTCCCGCGCCCTCCTCCCCTTCACACAAGTGCGTCACGCCTCGCACGCCTCGCAAGGAACGGCCAATCAACACTCACGTGATCCGGCCGGTAAGCGCCTCGGAGCGAAGCGTTCGGGCGGCGAGTACGTCGTACCGGGATGCATCATTTTCCGGCAGCGAGGCTCGCTATGGTTCCCCGGTGAGAACTGCGGAATGGGACGCGACCACACAATCTACGCAACACAGGCCGGCTACGTGCGCTACTACCTCGACCCGCTGAAGCACTCGAAGCGCCGGTATATCGGAGTTGTTTTCGACAAGGATGAGAAGCTCCCGCACCCGCGCAATGCGCCCAGCCGGCGTAAGCTGAATATGGCTCCTGTGCCGATGGCGGAAGGCGTCGAGGCTCAGTCTGATCTCGTTGCTTCTGTTGATGAGAGCGGTGTCCGTGTGACGGATGTTGAGGCTGTCGAGGCTGAGTCTGGCCCCCAGCTGCGCCCCGGTTACATGTACCGTGAGGCTAATTGGGAGATTGGTCGCGCTGCTGAGAAGGCTGGTATCGTTGCTATACCGCATGATCGTGGTAACCGTTGGTTGGCGTGGAGGAAGCGTCAGCAGAGAGCCGAGCGGGCTGCTCAGCTGAAGAGTTTGAAGGGCAAGAAGAAGACGGCCAAGAAATGAGGGCATTTGCCGTGTGCATGATGTCTTGTTCCAATAACTTCTGGGTTTCTGTAGCGATATGAGGATTTGTATCTGGTGTTCACTGTATTATAGAAAGAGCATTTACCCATCAACATTCCCCCGTGTATTACTTCTTTTTTTTAAGAGGCATACTGGCACGCAATTGCCATCTTCAAGTCCATATCCCATGACATCCTGACGTATAACGTGTGCCGCCCATAAGTTGGCGTTAGCACAGCCCAGCAAAACCAAACAACAAGGATATGTATTATCTTAATTTCAATTTGCAAAGAAATACGTATGCCATTGGATCATTCTCCATGTTTGCCTTTGAATCCAAGCTAACACGCTTAGGAATCCCGGATTATATCCGCCGCGATCTTCTCGGCAAGCATATCTGTGACGCAGTTAGCACTTGGTAAATCAGAGCAACAACCGAGATAAACCCACAAACCGTCGACTGAGGATGGCCAGGAGGAAGGAATGGAAAGGCGCTAGTATCGACTACGCGCAATCCGTCCACTCCATAAACCCGGGCCTGGGAGTCAACCACAGCCATATCATCATCGGACGTCCCCATCTTGCAAGTACAACTTGGATGCCACAAGGTCATCACATTATCCTTGATAAACTGGAGAATCTGATCATCAGATTGGACCTGCAGCCCAGGGCTGTATTCCTCGCCAATGACCACGGGCTTCATGGCTTCACTCTGGAAAGCCTGGCGTATTCGCTTGAAAATGGCAACAACAACTTCCTGATCAGCCTGATCATCGAGCCAATTAGGATTGATCACCGGCAGATCCGAGGTATCTGCGGACTGCAAGGTGACGTTCCCTCGGGACATAGGTGCAATCAGAACACCGAGCATTGAGGCGTATGAGTATCCATCTCTTGGCTGGGTTGCCGGGAGGTTTGATGCATTTCCGATATACCCTGCGCCAGACATGTACTATATATATGCACGTTAGCAACCTTTCTATTTATCTAGGGGAATATCTCAATATCTCTCACCTCTGCTTCAGGCCAGTCGGATGGAAATTTGGTCAGTTTACGCTGCGTGTCTTCAGAGAAAGCCGAGCGCAAGAATTGTGGAATCTTCTCAAAAGCTACATAATCTGCGATTGGATTTGTGATAACTCCCTTTTTGGAGAGCAATGCTTCCAGAATTTGCCCAGCCGCGTAAACCAGGTCGGTAACAAAGTTGGTGAATGTTTTCACTCGCACTCGGTACGAAGGTGCAAAAAACGGATGATCCCACATGTTCTGACCGACCCCTGGTCGATTAGCTATGATTTCGATTCTGTGTTCTCTTAATTGGTCGGAGGGTCCAATACCAGACACCATGAGGAGCTGGGGAGACTGGAAGGCACCAGCCGAGATGATAACCTCTTCCGATGCCGAAAGGGTGACGGTATTTCCTAGCAAACCTTTCACTTGAACTCCTGTTGCTTTCTTCTTCTCATCAAATACCACCTTCTTGGCAAGGGTATTTGTATATGTCCTCAGTGACTTCGGCTTGATCTTGGATAGGAAAGATTCCTCGGAGCTGCTTCGGAGCTCGTTGGATGGATCGATGGTCGAGGCACAATACTGGGCTCCCATTATCTTACCCAGGTTAAAGTCCTTTACTTGGTCAACGCCGATAGCTTCCATACCGAGTCTCATCCATGACGAGAAAGGCTCAGCGAAGTTGGCATACGACACCTGTAATGGGCCACCATCCGAGTCGTAGGCATCAATATCATAGTCCGCGGAGGCATTTTGAGCTCTATAGTCGGTGTTTGGGGGCGTGAACTGGACACTCTTCTTGTAGAATGGGAGCACTTCATCGAATGTGTAACTGCTGTCATTGACTGCAGCTGCCCATACTTCCATAGACTCGCGTGTCGGACTGCATGATCCCGGTTAGTAAAGCTGCAAAGATTTAGTTTCCATTGGGCTTTACCGTTGATAGACCATAAAATTCAACGCTGACCTACAGACAAATTAGTTTTGTTCCGGTATGTCAACTTCGGAAAGAGGTACCTACGATCCCCCAAGACATTTTCCTCGCGCGAAATGAATCGCCCGCCTATTAGCACCAGGTTGATTCCTTGTCACAAAGCCCCAATCTTCCGGTGATCTGAAAGTAGGATCTGATCCCATCGATAACGCATCAGATGCAGGAAACTCAGCCACCGACTCAAGCTCGTAATGCCCCCCAGCTTCGACTAAGGCAACTTTGAAGTCGTTCTGTGCTAGTCGCGTTGCGATCACACTCCCGCCGGTACCGCCACCAACGACCACATAATCGAATGTTTGGTCGGCGAGGGGAATATCTCGTCGTTCTGAAAGTGCAGAGGCGACGCTAGTCACGTGTAGTGTGAGGAGTGCTAGGCTGGTCTGGAACAGCATCGGGAAGAACTGGTGGGGATGGGTACTCGAGGCGAGATGCGGCCATATATCATAGCGAAACAAAGCCGATAAGTATTTCACAGGCGAGCTGGTCACACAAGCGAGCTGGCTACCCGACCCAAAACGCGTCTAGCAATCACTTAGTTAATCCGACCACCCACCATGCCACTGATTCGACCCAGAAGCTCTCGGAATTCAACAGAGCAAGAGGGTAGGATCTAGCTATCTAAGCTTCTAAGATTCACTAAATCTCTTCAATTCGTGAGGTAGCGCGCCGTTTAAACGTCCTAAGATCTACCCTTTCTACATGCCTTAATAGGGTGTAAAACCGCGCGATTCTCGCGCTAATTTATACAAATTGATAGAGATTGAAGAGGAATCTCTTTAAAAGATAGATACTCATCATAGATTCTTATAGATTAGCCCTCCGGCCCTCTATTATTCGAGAATTAGTATCCATGAATGCTCTTATTCGACTTAATTTCAATGTTACGTTACATGTGTGTAAATCATAAACGAAATAGTTCCTCGGATAATGATTTATTCTCGCCTCAGCTGTTTTCGACGCGTGATATCAAGCTGCACCTTGCATAAATCATCCCTAGATGATTTGCCAGACTAATGTTTGTGTCAAGTCAAGCCAAAGAATCCATCAAGCCGCTCTCGAATATTGGGGTTCCTGATGCCAAACCAATGTCTACGTTTTGAGAGTTTTAAGAATGTTTTAAAGTCATCGATCATCAGCCAAGTAACACGATATATCTCACTGCACGTTCCATCATACGAGGCACCAAGTACGTGGCAGCCTCATTCATCCGAACTCGGTACATAACTGACATATTTCTAACTCGAATTGATACTACAACATACTTAGAACCTCGATGCCTGTGCTCCAACTGCGAAGTATACTAGCGCCACAAAATGTCCGTGCGCAACTTAACTTGAACACCAACCCCTGATTATACGATGTAAGAACCGTCACTTGTTGTGTAGACTCCCAGGGCTTAATATAATTCTCTCCTTCGTGTTGGTCAAGCCTGTACTGGATATTGGAGATTATACCTGACTCTACTAGACGTAGATATCTTATTACAAAGAGCATCACCGGGAGAAAAGATATCATCCATGAAGAACCCGTTACACAACCCGTTGCCCGCTTCACTGTCTAGTATTATCCCCCGTGCCACTGCTACCCACATGGCTGACTCTGGGCTGACCATGTTCCACAGGCGAGTGCAAAAAGGCCGCTGCTATTCTCGAATCCTTCATCAACCCAAAACTCAAAATCGATGGAGAAATCCCACGTAAGATATTCGCGGGGGCCAAGGTAAGAGATATCCTACCGAGAACCGACCTAAATAACCATGACTTACACTATGCCAGGGTATCGCCGTATTCACAGCACTCAGAGTTGGATTCCTGGGCTCGATCCGTTTTGGCTCGGGACTGATTGTCGCTCGTCTCCCAGATGGCAGCTGGTCCGCCCCGTCAGCCATGGCAATGGGCGGTCTCGGCGCCGGTGGTCAATTTGGCGCAGAATTGACGGATTTCGTGTTCGTCCTGGCTACCGATGCCGCAGTGAAGACATTCATGCAGTCAGGTAACTTGACTCTTGGGGGGAATATATCCATGGCTGTCGGGCCCATTGGTCGGAGTGCCGAGGCTGGGGGAGTAGTGGGCACCAAGGGTGCAACGGGGGTATTCGCCTACTCCAAGACCCGTGGATTATACGGCGGTCTCACAGTCGAGGGTGGTGTTCTTGCAGAGCGTGCGGATGCAAACAAAAAGCTATATGGGCGGAAACTTCAAGCAAAGGAGCTACTGGGCGGGTCGGTCCCACCACCACCTGAAGCGGGAGTCCTCATCGAGGTTCTGAACGGGGACTTCTTCCGTATCGATGGATCTACGGAACCAGCCACGGAGGGCACTGGGCAGCCGGGCGAACAAAATCTCCAGGCTTCTACGCAACTCCCTGATGCGCAATCACAGAGAATTGTGGCGCTTACTGCTCATCAGTTAGCAGTTGGTGAGCTAAGCGCAGAGCAGACGGCTGGAACTGCGGAATCACTCACCAGAGATCCTCACAGTGTATCCCATGATGAAGGTACCCAGGAGACAATGCCGACTGTCGAGAGTAAACCAACTACCGAGTTAGGTACTGAGGAAGCAACCAGAGACGCTGAATTATCCAACAAAACTACCCACAATGCACATACGCCAAACGTGCAAGAGAATGTGTCTACTGCTGAGCATGTTTCGGCTGTGGAGCCAAGTACACAATTGGTACCTGAAGACAAAAAATCGGCAGCTGGGGACTCGCACGATACCTCATGAGCTAGGTCTCCCGGGGCATATCCCCGCTACTGAGACGATCTGGCAGCATAAAGACCACTCCTAGTGTGATTCGCTGATTATTCAACGTCATGTTAGGATAATGTTGTATTGGTTCCCTTTTGGGGTAGATGGATCTCCACATTGAGATGTCCAACTACTCTTGCGCATATACCATAATAACTCCTAGACAACCCAAGTGATCTTCCACCATCGTTCTATCATTCCACTTCGTAATCTTTTTTTTTCTGGTGTCGGTTTGTTTAATCAATCCTCATGAAGTTTGTACACAGCTGAGAGTCTCGTTCTTGATCATCTTAGTGTCGCTCGTAGCACATCTATCCTCGGTGGCAGCATGCAGGCGGCTAGCTTCAAAGCGAACAAAGTCCTGGCAAGCATTCTCGAGAAAATCAGATCCCGACCAAGTGCGGTTAACTTGGAAGCGTTTCGTCCATTCAATTGCCGCTGGGCCGCCCCTCATACTGACCGCCAGAATGAACTGATGGAGTTGGATGTTGAGTGGGAGATTGGCGGTTCCCAAAAGCTCGACCAGTTGGCTCAAGGCAGAACGCCGCTGGTGGACAATTGCATTGGATCCATCGATGGGGTGTACCCACAACTAATCCACGGCTAATAAACTTGTGGGGATTGAGGATAACGAAATGACAGATTCGTTGAGAGGCATGGCTAGATATGTCAAGGGTGAACCGTGTCTGTTAAGTTAGTAGGCCCACTGCCATGGTAGGAGAGAATACAAGGAGAAAGTAAAGTAAAGATTAAGTGATACCACACAAACAGGCAGAGAATAACAGAAGAAAAAAGACTGAAAGTTTGCTTATTACGCGAGATCAGTCTGCCTCTCTCTTACACCAGATAGTCGTATCTTTAACCCTAATATTCGTCTAAGTTTGTTAACTTCCCTCTATATAGTTTTCAAATGAGTTCATTGATTTCAGACGAAGTTGAAATATTTGAGATTCTGGCTTGCGAATTATCGAATGACATTGGTATCAAGAACTAGCACAAGAGATTACTCCTCAAACAACCGACCTAAAATCAAACTTTGGCAAACAAACTCGTTACCGACAACCCTTGCAGTACATTTCAGCTCATTCGGGGGTGTAGGAGTGGACGATGCAATCGACTTCCTACGCTTCTTCCCGTGGAACAAATGAATTCTCTGCGTCTTCGGTTTAGGCGTCAACATCGACTTTGCAGCAGCTTGGTCTGCATCATCAACATAGATCCAGTCCCAGGTAGTCGACACACCGGCATCAGACTGTGAGTCTATCAATGCCCTGGCCGTGCCGAGATCAGGGACGCGCTCGACGCGGGAAGCCCCTAGGGCGTAAGTCAGGAAAATGTAGGCTTTCCTCTTTTCCTCTACCTTTCCACGGCCCATGACAAGGAGCACTGATTGCCCTGCGAGCAGCTTTGTTCGTGCGGAGATGGTGTTGGCGAGACGAGCTGTAGATGGAGGGTTGGGAGCCATGACTCTAGATTTTGTCACTCCGTTGAGGTACATTGAGTCGCCGGCTGGGAGGAGATAGATATCCCAGTCGAGGACGCAACCTTGGGAGATACAGTCCTCTACCCAACGCCCGGCCAGACATGGGAGGTTCAATGCTAGTGCTTGCATGTATTTTTCCCGTCGAGAATGGGTATCGGCAATTAAACAGGCAAAGCCAACGTCCTCGGCGAGAGATGTAAGACGGAGACCCTTGTTATTGAGGTCTGCATCTTTGGCTCCACCTTTAGTGGGGGTACCAATAGGAATAATTGACGAAGGCTCGAACAATTCAGTAAATCCATCATGTAATACAGTGCCGCCATTCTCGATGATCAGCCTAGTCACACGGTTTTTAGAAACTTCATCCTCCTTGTAAGAGACGGCAAATACCATCCCAGCGAAGATCCCGCTGCCTTGATGAATGCTGCGGGACAGGCGAGAACTGGGGGAAGCAGGTGCAGATGACCTTTCGGATGGGGTATGGACCATGCTCTCTTGTTGGACAGGCGCCGGGCGATATGTGAACACCCGATCTTTGAGTTGATTCCACAGGATAGTATCAAGATAGACACGAGCAATAGGCACTTTGATCACATTCTCACTGTTACCCATCCCTCCATTTGGCAAACTTTTGCGTTGCTTAGGACCGACTATGATAGTAGTATGACCGTAAATGTCGGTTATAGGATAAAGGCCATCGTCAGCGGCTTTGGTCAGCTCTTCTCTAGTGAGTTTGTCACCGAATCCGCGGACGATATGAGTGACTTTTGGAACATTCTCCATCTCGATTTTAACGGAGTCTCCGACACGAAGCTCAAATCGCTTAACGGCACCCTTTGGCACTTCGACAGGAAGACTATCCTCAAATTTCACAGAGTATTTAACCTGCGATACGCCCAGTGGTGTTCCGAAGCATGTCGCTGGGTAGTATGCACGTTTCTGGCCCATCCAGACAGAAAGGACTTGACTTGGAGCAACCACAATATTCTCCGATAAAATGTGAGATGGTCGAGGTGTAGTAGGGGAGTCATCGACACTGTTCGCCTCTGAATCAATGATATCATCTGAGACAATTGTTGATGAAACTTCAGCGAGTTCCGATGATGGTGGTGGTCGACTATGAACAACAACCTTTGGTGAGGGTGGTGATCTCGCAATAAGTCCGGAGCTCTTTTCCGGAACATGCTTCTTTTGCGTAGACATCAATGTAGCCGCCTTGCTAATTCTTGGTCTCCTGCGGAAGGGCTGCTCAGGCGAACCTTCGATTTCCCAAACATTCTCGGAGGCCCGTCGCGGGAGCTTTGATTGCCTTCGCACAGTGTTTTCGGGGAGTTGCACCAAAGGCACATCATCTGAATCTTCCAGAATAGGAGCTGGCCGTTCTTGTGTCGCTCGAATAGGTGCAACGGATTTTGGGGGTTGTGTGCGAGGGGTGAGAGGTATGATAGGGTCGGAGGCAATATAACTCGAGCCATCATTGCCGCGCCGCTTCTTCTTCGGTCGAGTCGGCGATCCGTCAATCAACGCTCTGAACTCTTGATCCTCAGTGGTGAAGATCCCAATTCCCATATCAAATCCTCCTGCCCCAACTTGCGGGGAAAGATCTGCCGCAATTTCAGTCAAAGCCCTGCGTTGGCCTCCACCCGGACTGGACAACAACTTTTTTAGAGGCGAAGAGAGTGCCCTTGTCCCAGCTGGGCGGATATGATGCTTTCGAATACTGGGGACTTCCTTGAACATGGGTGGAAGATCGTCGTCTTCGTTCAGTCCATCGCCATGGGACCCCTCCTCGGAATTGCATTGGGAATGACTGGGACTTGTTTCTGGGATACTCGTCAATCGAGCCATATCACCGAGATGCTTAAGACGTTGATTCATTGGTGTCTCGGCCACGCGGGATGGCATCGATGAGTTGCCCGCAGTTCCCGCTTCCACTCTGGAAAGCGATGAGCTTACATGTTGCTGCTCCGAGGGGTTGCTGGAATGTGTTGGTACGTTCTCGCTAAGGGATGCATTTTGAATGGGTTGAATGGCAGGTTCATTTGATACAGAGCCATTTCTCTGGGTATTGTTGTTCGAATGTCTTGATTGTGGTCGTGAGCAAGGAGAGGAGGACTGAAGATGGTCTTGTGCGGGAGAATTCACATGAGAACGCGAAGGCGACCGATGAATACTGTTCACAGAGTTGTCGGCTTCTACGCGTTTTTGTGATGATTGGGGTGATGGCTGAGAATCTTTTACCATGGCCTGGGAAGAACGCATGGCACCGTTCGGCTGACCACCATTGTGGGAGCCGAATGAGCCTCCATGAGCCACCGCATCCTCCAGTTCCTCGTCTACTCTCAGGCGAGATGGGGAGGGAATCGACTCAAACCCTAGTACCTGAGATAGTCGGTTGTGGGCACTGGCAGCAGCGGGGGCGGTGGCAGCAGGATCTAGAGGAGGTCCGTCGTAGTTCTCTTTGTCTTCTTCGGCTGAAGATTGAGGAAGCTCTTGTGACCGGAGTACTTGCATATCTTCCTCTTGTTCTGTTTCTTCCTCGCTGGCAACAGCTTCTATCGTTTCATGGTATTCTTGTTCATCTGGCTGCTCGGGGGAAGTCTGTGGTCTGGCGGAGAGATTCGACGTAGATCTGGCAGGAGCACTCAGCCCGGCAAACTGAGCCGCAGCTTCCTCGTCGATTTCTCGCTGTCGTCGTGCACGTTCTATAAAGCTGGACTCTTTATAGAACTCCTTGTCACTCGGATCCGACTGGATATTATCGGCCGACCGAGTCAACCTCTCCCCCAAAGTCCTGTCACGCTTTGTCTGTGATTCCTTCATCGATATATAGTTCATGTTCGGTTCGGATGATTCTCTCATGAACTGGACGGGGAAGCCCGTCAACGGAGACGAGATACCATTAACAACGCAAGCGGGTTGAATCGGAATATTGGGCGACGGACGATCCGATACAAGCTCCGTCTGTAGGCCGTGGACAATGGGAGATGAGGGGGCCTGGGTAGCCCCGAAAACCTGGCTCAGACCAAGGAGACCGCCACTTGACTCGATGCCACTAGCCAGCGGATTTCGCGAGATGCTTGGGGTCTCGTTTGTCCCACCCTTTCCATCATTTTTTTTCACCACCGCGCCGGGTGTTTCTGCTAGGAATCGTTGCGATTCGGGGAAGAGATCAGGTGCATAGGCCATTGGAGAAGACTCGTTCGGATCGAAGTTGCTCTCATCGTCGTTATCATCGTCATCTTGGGAGAGGTTCGTTCCATGGTGCGCAGCGTCGAATTCAGAAATGAGATCGATATGGCCGCTGTCGCCCTCATACAATGTTCTCAATGTCGCTCCATCGGCCCCTGTTTGTGAATAGTCTTGTTGCATGGACTCTCCGTTTTGCCTGATAATACTATCGTACACTGACTGCGAAACGACCTGGGTATCCCCAGGAGCAGCCTCTGCGGAGCTCATATTGCCGAATTGTGATCCGGGTACAATACCCGCTTCATTGCCACTTTTGTTGGACATCATTGGGCGTCGTTCATGCTGCCGAGGTCGAGACGGAGAGTGTTGGTGTTGGTGCACGAGGCTCGCGGGGTTTGATGGCGTTTTCGGAGGTAGGTGTTGGCCGGTGCACACTCCGTCACCATTGGAAGCACCGTTGACTTTGTGGTATGTGTAACAAAGAGTGTGCTTCGGCTCATTCACAGTTTTTGCAGATCTTGAAAGGTACGGCTGAGATGGATCATGCTCCTGGGGATGTCGGGGTTAGTCCAATGAGGGCGAGGGACGCTGCAGGGTCATTACATACTAGCTCCAACGCGTCGCGTTGCAACTTTGCAAAGTCGATGCTATCATCCTGGGTCTCCATTTTTCGACGACATACAGTCGCTGAGGTCTGCCACGTCTTGATTGCAACAGTGGTAATTGCGAAGTTCGTTTTAACTCAGTCTGATACTTCAAATGCCTTGGGTCGAGACATAAATTCAAATGGAGGCGCCAGAACGCGAAACGCGCATGTCACGTGTCTTTTGGTAATATTACCTCTTACGGACTAGCGTTATCAAAGTATATTGACACACTCAACAGCCTTCTACGATATGACTTGGGATTGTGGACATTTTGATTATTCACACGCAAGAATAGTCAGGTGCTTATGCGGTCTTGTCGTGTCATTTTAGATCTCTTTTTAGGTGCACACGAAGACGGTTAACAAAGGCATACTCTGTGCAAGAGACTTTTCTATGTATAACCTTTGATAACCTTCGACCTATAAACCGGTTTACTAACTTGGAAGTAACTTGACAGTTGGAAAAACATGAATTTCATAGATCATTATGCAATGATAATACACATGTATGGTTATGCAAGACAATGCAACATAATTACAGAGAGGGTATCAGAAGCCCTCAACATTCCCCGCCTTGAGGGGACCCAAGAGACAAAAACGAAGGCAATCAATCACGAGTACGGTTCGGAATCCATCTCTTGATGAGGAACTCGCGCACCTTGTATTGGCCAAACAGCGCCCCAATATCTTCAATTGAAGCAGCTGGCGGGGGCACTTCGACGTAGCAGACGACCAAGCTCTTCAACACCTGGGCTTGCACACGGCTGACGCAGTGCATCCACCACCAACTCCTCGCCTGCTTCTCTGCTGTGTAGTTCTTCCGTTCTTCTGTCTCGGACCAGTAGGGGTGGCTATAGGAAGGAATGACGATGACTGCGAACTCTGCGTGGGAGAAGACCGGTCCGCGGTTGTAGAGCAGGTAATCGGTTCCAAATTTGACACCGGAGCGGATAACCCACCCGAGGGATCGGAAGTGGTGGTAGACGGCGTAGGAGGTCATGAAGGGATCATCTGGTTGGAGGGAAGCGGAGCCGTCACGGGCAGGTTGGAAGGAATGATGGCAGAATTTTTGGAGGAGGGCAGAGGTGGTTATTGGCGAAATTGGTTGGTCCTCCTCGGATTTCAACGGTGAATCATAGATTTGCAATGCTCCAAGCGAGTAGGCAAGGAAGAATGCCTCTTCGTTGGAGAGTTGAAGATGCTCCTCATTTGGGAAATCATCTACATCGAGACTGTCGACGACGGAATCAGGCACCTGGAGTGATGAGGGTGAGGTGGATAGGAATTCTTTCTTCTGCACGACTGATGAGAAGCGCACGGATTTGCTGCTAGACGGGGTCTCGGGTTGGTTTTCTTCTGCGAGAGCCGCATTTTGTGCGGCCAATTCCCGCGCCTGTCGTGCCTCCAGCACCCGAGCCTCCTTTGCCTTCTTCAAGGAGAACTTCTCCGTTGTAGTCGCTGTGACATTAGTCGTATCATCTGAGGGTGTTGATTGAGCAGCTTCGTCAAGAGGCTCGGAAGCAACAGATTCCCTAGCAGCCGCCTCGGCTTTCAGTCTTTCCTCAATGGCCAGCTTTTCCATCCGGGCACGCTCTAACTTCAGTTCACGGCGTTCAGTCCGTCGCAGTCTTGTAATCTCCTCGCTGGTCTTCTCATTATGTAACCCTCTTCTTTTTTTCTCTCGCGCCAGCCAGCTGGGTTCACTTCGACTGAGACTACCCTTGCCGAAGAATCCCATCTGCCACAAGGCATTAATGGATCTCTCGTCCGTGACATGGATCGATGAGGTGGCTTTGTCAAAGTAGGCCGAGTAGACTTCTTGACGGGGCGGGGAGATAAGGAATGTGAGGTACGAGAGAGCAACGCTTATAAGAGAAAGAGGGTTATGAGGAATTACAGGAGGAACGTGATGTACATTGACCGGAAGAGGAAACTGGTGAATATGTCTGAAGTTTGGCCTAGGTGGTCGAGGGGCACGAGGCGGACGTGCATTTGATGCAGACCCCGACTTGGTAGCCACAGGCTTGTCCATGCAGGTTACTGGAGTGGCCATCCTGGAAACTGCTACTGGATAAAGAAAATATTCCAAGTCCTAAACACAAAATTCGAGATTAGCGAACTGTGCTGAAACATGCGAGTGAATCATTCGTGGTAGTAATATCTTCTCAGATACCGTTGTAGTCAATTCAGCGGATCATCGACAGGCAACTAGAAATCAAAGTGTCGCCTGCCTGAGCTAAATAAATGGTGTCATCACCGAAGAGGTGAAGGGTGGGCTGGAGGGGAAGTAGAAGAGCTGGGGAGCATCTTACCTATAACTCTCTGTGTGTATGAAAAACCTGAATCAATGTCAATTAGTTATTCCACCATGGCTCTGCACATTAACAAAGCTCAAAAGCCATTTAAGAGGGACCTCAGGATTACTCTCTTCTTTGCTCAGATGTGAGAGAAAAAGGAAATTTTGCAGTCGAAAGCTCCATTTAAAAAGCACCGTGTGACTAAGCAACTTGGTCCGAGCTCTCCATCGTCGAGAAAAAAAATCCTCCACTTTATCGCCGACGCAAGTACTAACACAGGACAATTCATCAATACCGTCAAGTAAGTTTCTAATTCATGTTCTGATTGGTCTTCGTTGCACATATGCTAATATTGTTCTTTCCAGAATGCATCTTATGGTATGTTTCATCGCAACATCGAAGCGAGCGAATCTTCAGCTCCGCTCGGAGATCGGTCACTAATTTTTTGGACGAACAGTACACCCTCGACACCGCTGGCAAGCGTGTTTACACCCTGAAGAAGGTACGGAAATCTTTGCGCTGGGGTCACTGTCGCTTTTCAGCGAACATGTGGCTCCTCAAATCACAGTTTCAACTTTGTCCAATGATTCTAATTTTTGGCAATTACAGGTCCTGAACGGCGAGGTCACCAAGTCTGCCCACCCTGCTCGCTTCTCTCCCGATGACAAGTACTCTCGGTAAGTAGCAATATCCTTCTACGAATCGCACAATGGAAGCATTGGAAACTGACCTCTTCCACAGTCACCGTGTCACCCTGAAGAAGCGTTACAACCTTCTCCTCACCCAGCAGACCGGTACGTCGCATCCCTCCTTCCAGAACTATGCGCTCCCCAAAGTACCTGAAACTGACATTTTATCGTTCAGAGACCCCCGTTAAGGCTTAGATGGATCGACACTGGGAAAAATGAATTACCGGGTGGCATAGCCCATGTTTTGGCGAATGGTGTTTTTCTTGCGGTCAACGGATGGCTGAGATGTCCATACTTGTTTTGCTATCCTTGGATAATCTATTCGGGGCTTCACCTAGACATTCTAGAGAATACGATACCTGATCTAGGAAATCAACAAGGATGTTGTTAAAATGTTCATAAAGAGCCCTATGGATTGGCTATGTTCTATGTTTAACCGTAAATCACAAGACAAGACATGGTCATTCCTCATAAAAGAGCCGACAACCACCATGACAGCGGCATTGGCCAAGTGAACTTTTTTCTTTCCATGCCCCAAAACTCCAACCCATGTAATCAAGATGCAAGGTCATCCACGCAGCACTTTTAGCGCTTCCTCGAGTTGACATTGCGGCCAGCACCGACCTTGGTACGACCGCCAGCCCTGTTGCGCTCGCCGGTCAAGATACCAGGCAGGTAATCTTCGTCCATGAGATCACGCTCGCGACGCTGCCTCCGTTCTTCTTCCTCGTTGGCGCGGACATACTCCTTCTGATCTTCGGCAAGAACAAGCTCGGTACCCCATCCTCGCTGGCCACCGCCGCCCTTCCACTTGCCATTCGCGCTTCCTGCAATCGGCTTGGGAACGCTATATACATTGCCGCGCTTGTTCCACTGCATGTTCTTCTTCAGGTGCATTGTGAACGCGCCGTTGGCGGTGGTTGTGCATGAGACACGAGTGAGAGTATCCTTGCCACAGCGAGGGCAGAACTGCTTGTTCATCTCCTTTGTGGTCAAGAAGCAAGCGTGGCAGCGCTTGATGAAGGTTCTAAGATGCTGGATCTTCTGGAGGGTAGTGGTAGACAGAAGATTGAGGTTCATTTGGAGGAGAACGTTTTGACACTATACAGAATAAGTAACTGGGTGAGAGACAATTGTTATCCGGGGTGTACTTACCGCAAAATCGGTGGTCATAGTCGCAACTTGCATTGTCTTGGGCGTGGCAGTAAGAGTCGCTGTGCCTGACTCATCCTCAGCAAGGCGCTTTTTATAGTTAGAGGGTGTGATCCATTCTCCGTCATCAGAATCAGCAGCATCATCCGCATCCTGATCTTCGTCCTTCTCTTCTTCATCAGCAACAGCAACAGCAACCTCGGCGACTTCGTCGGCCGAGTTAGCTGGAGCAGTCTCCTCCTCCTTTGGAGATTCCTCCTGGGCATCTGCGACTGTGGTCTCTTTCACTCCCTCCGTGATGGCTTCCACCTCCACATCCTCAGGCTTGGTCTCCTCGGGCTTAGCCTGCTCAGATTCCTCCTTCACAGGCGGCTTTCCGTTAATTTTCTTCTGTCCAGGAACGCTTCTTAACCGCCAATCTCCTTCGTTCTTTTCGCACTCAATTTCGTATGCAAGGGCGAGAACCTCAATATCGGTTCTACTCAGGACAGAACGGTCACCGGTCTTGCGAGCAAATTCACTGATAATATTGAAGCTCTTAGGTGTGGGGGATCGCTGCTTCAAGAAAGGCAGGTAGAGGGTCTCGACACGTGCGCGGGCATCAGGATCGCGGATCTCGCCCACCACGGAGGGGGTGGTGATAATTTCGTCGCACTGGGCAAGGAGGGTTGAAAGCGGCGGGGTATTCTTGAGAATCGGGCCAGCGTCCAGCACGATCGTGTGGACGGGCTTGGTGGATGCGGCAGTAGTGTCTGCCATTTTGTCCTGTGTATTAGGACTATTCCCACTGCTCGACAATGAGAAAAGACAAGACTGTTGTCGACTTGATAGAATTGGCCGAGTTGTGGAAATGAAATTTCTCTGTGAACAGTGGCCTGTGCGTCCTTATCGGTCTATCTTATCGCCTATCCAAATCTACCAAGGTCCTGCCTTCCAGCATTTTCTTTTTTGAATGTAAAATTGGACAGCAGAAAGCTTTGATTGTACATTTATTCTCTTGTCAAATGTTATATATAGAAAGGTCTCTTGCATGGAATATGCTTTTTCTTTACCGTGTTTGTATACACTTAAAAAAAACAACCAAAAAGAGCATCTAAAGAGAGCATCCAAAATAGCAACAAAAAGACATAACAAGGCTGCGTAAGCGGCCGACTATTCTTGTTGTTCGATATTCACATCACTTTATTGAATACTGTATACTGAATTGAAGACAGATTGGCCAGGACAAAAGGAGAGCATAACGCCGATGTTGTTAAGATATATTCCACAACCTTAGATTCCCGTCTACAACTTTGATTGGATGACAGGATTCCATCATCATAGCATAGGTCAACCTCTAGTGGCATATTTTTCTAGGTCTTAGCAGAAGCAAAATTGTTTCCTTTCTCCAGGTAGGACATAGCACCCAGTTACCGCCAGTCGAAAGCATCCCATGTTGGAAACCAGGCCAATAGGTTACCGATGACTCCCCGGGCTAGGTAAAGAGTCTATGCAAATAGTAAGCGCAAAATGACATTTGAAGGCCAAACAAATGTGTTCGTCTCTCGAATTAGTTTCATAAAAGCTATATCCACAATAGAGAACCTATATTCGATGGTTCTAAGCAAACAGTTTCCAACCAATGTAAGTTCTAACATTATTGCCCTAAATCTTGCGTATCGTATCTGTCACTCCGTGGAGACATGGTCTCCCCTACATACAATAGGGACATTGCATGTTTCAACCTACAGTCTCAGCCAAAATCTCAGAGGTTCTTGTAAAAAAAGGAAATTGGAAAAAAGACAATGGCAAAGAGAGTTGCTGCAGGCTGTAAGGAACCATGATGACTTCTCGCGTTCTAACCAGCAGTGGCTTGATTTAGAATACGGAGCTGACACCTTGGTCCAAATAGCTTGCACATCCCACAGTAATCTCAGAGTGTTTTCAGCTGATGGCAACGAAGAAGTTGTGTGGACATCGCGATCCTAGATAGATAGCAAGCTGCTCTAACCAGAATGATCTAGCGTTCAACATCCCATATGAGCCGTTTGTAGTCTCAAACCCATCGACAAAGCCGCAGGAGAGAGAGAGCGGTCAATACACGTGGAATCCACTCCAATTGACCTGTCCCGATCCTAATTTGAATCCGGCTAGCTGCAGTAAGATGGCTGACCAGAGATATAGGGGTGGTAAGGAGATACACCCTATCCCATGACATCGTTGACTGAAGAAGGTATAGAGCCGTCTTGGCGTATCGAATTGCTCAAAATTGCGACAGAATAACCGTTTTTTTAGCTCCCATTAGCTCCTACCTAGTAGAGTGATAAACTTTTCAATCTCCAAACCAGACTCGGTTAATTTGAGTACCTAAGTATTGGGGGTAGTACTCAGATCTTAACAGAAATTAGATTGTGCATTTTTAGACCAATGCAAGATTCAAGTCTCAAGCTGCCATGACAACTCGGTAAGCAAGGCAACCTGCATGCAATGCAAGTCTAGAGCCTATCGCCCTGCATATTGATAAGATTTATTGCGTATATGAGTGTTCCACTACAGGATTCAAAATGTGGCAGCAAGAAATGCAAAGCCATGTTTCTTTGATTCTTCGACGGATGGCCAACCATCGATATTCGTGTATCCAAACGAATTGCCTTGATGGCTGTATGTGACATGTCATTTAGCCAACGCCACTTTGGCAGGGGCCATTTTGGCCACACGCCTTTAGTAGAAAGTCCAAATAACGTAACATGTTAATTGCTTTTTCTTGAATTGTCCCAAAAATTCGACGCATTTCCACGAGCCGAATTGCGTGGGTATCAGTTTCGGATGTTGTGAGACGCCACTATTCGAGGCTATATAATCGTGCTGAGACCAATGTGCTTTGTATGAGAAACATTTTCAAAATACAATTAGCAGGTTGAACAATTCGAGCACATCCCCATATTTGTGACCAACGAAGCTTTTCGGGAGCGGATATCGGGGGCATGGTTATCCCTTACAAGGTCTGTGCCATTATCGAATGAAGTGGCTAGATGTTCCAACAAATAGGAGATTTTATCTCTCTATTCAATGTTTAATTGGACACTCTGTTCTTTTAGCTGTGGGTATTTCTGTCGCATACGGGGTAGTTCAGTGGCAATAAATAGAGCGCCCCTTACACAGGAAGCAGATGAGCTTAATATAGCCCTAACATGCAAAATGAAACAGTGTCTACAATAGGGTGTTCGTTTCTCGGTCAACTAATAAGACAGACCAGGCCTTATTCTAACCATTCTTCAAATCTCCAAGGTAACAAAATGAGGGGCAGAACGAGAGGGGCATGTATCGACATAGGTCAGAGTGTTACGACGGCTTGGGTTGGAGGGTTTTACCAACCATCTCCGTCATTACCGTTTGTATTGTGCTTTCATTTCCCGGTAGTCATCGACGCACTGGATTGGACTATGTCATGGAAATAAATATGAGAATTAGCTTCTAACCCATAGTGATGCGCATAACCGCGATTTAGAAGCCAGTAATCAATAGAGTTGACACTTTCAATTTCACACTAGTCCCTACGGCCAAGCAACTTTCAACATGTGGACCAACTACAATGACAGATTCCATGGGCAGTAAGATTGATACATACATAGGGTTGGCTCACTTCAGGGCAACATAATCCCAGGCCCCACTCTTCATCATCATCAATTGCTATAAATGCCTCTTCAGTGTCACCGTCGGAGATGATCGGATATCAAATGAAATGACCTCCGAGCTGTCTGCAAAAACAATGTATGCAAGTCTTGCATAATGTCATATTCGAAGTAATTTGGAATCGCTTCAAATATTGTATATAGCATGGCAGTCCGTGGAAGTATAGTTTGCCGAGCGTCAATCAACGAAGGCAAGCCTATACGTAGTGCACCTCCATGGGCAGTCCAAATCTGGTCAGTAAGTGAGCCGACCATCCCATATGCGATCGACAGGAATAGCTTGAAATTATTGAACCATTTAGGGCAGTGAGACGGAAGGGGTAAATGTTTCTGGGATCTCAAATAAGGTGTGGGAAATTAATATATCAAACA